TAGTTTGAAACTTCCACCCTGCCCCTATGAAACAAGCTGCCCTCCCACGCAGCGACGCGGGCGCTAACGCTATCCCCGTCCTTCCAAGGACCCACGCACGCGTGTGATCAGCAAAGCCAGGAAGAATCCCAGCCCTGACGCCGCAACGAGGGCACTTGCCCAACATAGGAGGCGAAGGACCACGCCTGGCCCTGCCCCAGACCAGGTGGGAACCCAGCCTCCAAGCTGAGGGGAGGTTGGGACACCAGTTTTCCGAGGATTTGGTCAATAAGACCGTCTGCAAAAGCTACCATGTTCCAAGCTTTGGGTTCAATTTCAACTAATCAGCAATTCCCCCCAAATAAATCACCATGTTGGAAAACACTCATATCGGCGACCTGCAGAAAAACCACCTTGAGAAATCAATTTGGCCCCACAGAGGTTTCCCTCTTACTAAAACACGATGCCTTTTTATAGGCAGAACCCACAAAACGTGGTCACTTACCACTAACCTGCCTGCAAGACTTTGTTCATTAATTCTCAGTAAATTCATGTTCGTTACTGACAGTTTTTATTAAACAGCAGGCTGAATCACGTGCTCCTTCAAAGCTCTTACTTGCAAGCTGAGGCACCAGCAAAACGTAAAGATCTTTGATAGTGAAGCATTTTATGTTTTCAAAGTCTCAGTTCCACTTCATCCAACCTATGAAAAGGGGAACGTGCAATTTTTGCCACGTCTCCTGAAGACAATTCACCCAGCACGATTCCCCTAATTTTTGTTGCTGTGACCCAGGACCTAAATATGACCCCTCTGACTTAACCGCATTCTTCAGACCTTTATGGGGCAAATATGCTGCTGCTTTCGCTGTCGGCAAGCGCAACGTATGCTAAGCAGTTCACATTCTTTGCATCATAAACATTTTGTGGAAGTTTCACGCAGCCTCGCCCCGTGTTCCACACAAATAAAAGGAAGAAGGTGCTCCTCTGAGGTCAGAGGGAACTGCACCCTGGAATCTGCTCCCAGTGCACTGCCTGTACCAATCCCTCTCCCACCAGCAACCATGGCCTGCTGCTCCTGCGGCATCAGCTCTGGCCACGCCGTCAGGAATTTCAGCTCTTCCTCTGTGGCTCTTCCCAGGAATCGATGGAGTTTCAGCGCTGTCTTGTGTCACTGGGGTGGTAGCATGGGCTACCGTGGTTTGGGTTACTTCTGCAGCAGAAGTCTTGATGGTATGGCACGCTCCAGGCCCAGAATAGCTGCTGGAAGATGTCCTCCTCCGAGACATGGCTTTGGTGCAGCTGGCACAGGGTTCGGCTACAGAGGCGCTGGCTTTGGCTACAGGGTTGGTGGAGTCTCCAGGCCACGCATCATCACACCCATCACCATCGACAAGCAACTGCTCCAACCGCTCGGACTGGAACTTGGTCCCAACACGCAACCAGTGAAGTACCAAGAGGAGGAGCAGATCAAGACCCTTAACAACAAATTTGCTTCTTTCATTGACAAGGTGAGCTGAGAACCCCTCCCCAGCTCCGGTTCGCAGGCACTGGAGTCCAAGTGAGGTGTCTACCGTGGAACCCTGGTAAGACAACTCATCTCAGACATTGAGGGCAACTTGCATTAGGGTGCCAGTTGGGCACCAAGGTGTTCATGAGCCACTGGGGAAGCTTCAGTGTCCAGGCATTACTGCTCAGACCTCTAGGCCTGACTACAGGGAGGGAACAAGATAAATCAGTTTCATCAACCTTCCAGCTCCTTCCCATCCCAAATTTATTGGAAATCTCTCCTTTCTAGGAGTGCTTATGTTTTTTGTGCATTTCCACATGGGTGGCCCAGAACAGAAGCACACCGGACTAGGAGACGCCGCATTCACGCGTACCAAGAGCAGGAACGCATCTCACCGCTGTTGAATGGACAGTGGCTCTCATGAGCTTTCAATCCTCACCTCGCTTCCTATTTTGCCTTCTGGGATTCAGGTTCGATTCCTGGAACAGCAGAACAAGGCGCTGGAGATCAGGCAGAGCTTTCTGCAGGGTCAAAACCACGGCATGAATACCACCACGCCCGCGTTAGAGGCTTATATTGGTAACTTGAAGAAGCAGCTGGAAGCACTGGGGTGCCACAGAGCCCAGTTAGAAACAGACCTGACAGCAGCACAGCAGATTTTGGAAACCAACAAGAAAATGTAAGTAAAAAACAGAGAAAAGAGAATGCAGGGCTCAAAATGTTGTTCGAGATTTGTAGAGAGGCAGAGACTGAACTTTTCATGGGAGTAAATGGTTCCCAGAGAACTAGTAGGTAGATGGAGAGATCTACCAGGATCTTGGTATATAAAACAAGGTCCCAATTTACCGAGAGATGGAGGAAACAGAGGATTGTCTCTCTTCCAGGTTCTCTTTCTCTCCTTCCTAATTCAAGGAACTAACATTTAGAAATGTTCAGCAGCTGTTTGTCGTGGCAGAGGTCAAATGAGAACAGTCCTGCTGCTAATTTGCAAAGATGCAGAAACCCCTCTGAACACGTGTGCTTTCCCATGGGCTGGGAAGCAAGACCAAAGCATCCGAAAACACTGTTCGGGGAGAAGGGAAACAACTGAGGAGTTTCACTTCTTGAAAGAAGGCCTGCAGAAACCCAAACAAACGTGTAACTGTGCTGAACTGCAAGAAAATCTCCCGTTTTCCCACGCAGGTACAAGGACAAACGCAGCCAGGGGACGTGCGCAGAGAGTGAGTTTATTGCCCTGAAGAAGGTAAGCACGGGGCTGTTTGAACTCTCCTCTCCAGGCCGAGGTCTTTGGGGCGATTTATTTCCCAAAAGCATCACACAAAACAAGTACAAGCAGGAGCTGGTGCTTGGCTTTGCTTGAACTCAAATCAGCAGCAACTGCGTCATCGGGAGCTGGCGCACAGTCACGGTACCAGCACCGAAAGTCCCTCACCCCAAGGGTAGCCCTGAGTCTGCTCTCACTAACAAACTTCCTCCTTCTCTCCCCGACGCGTCTCCAGGACGCAGACTGTTTTTTCTTCAACAAAGCAGAGCTGGAAGCCAAGGTGGGAAGCCTGAAAGAAGAGGCTGAATTCCTGAGAATGTTACACAAAGAGGTAAGAAGCCTCCCTGCTGTCCAGCCATCCTTTGCATTTCCCATCTGGATTTTGAGGCTGCTTATCCCAAAGGAGAGAGGAAGAGGGGGGGTAACGCAGGGCAGCAGTCACCCCTTGTGGTGAAAGGTGAGACTCAGCAACTCACCTCTGCATGGTCACGGCAAAGGGGGGACCAAGTTGCACCATGTGGGTGACACACCAGCTTGGGGCTGGACTGGGGGCGCAGCAGGACCAGCATCTCTCCGACCAGCTTAACCCCGTGCTGCCACCAGGAAATCCACCAGCTGCAGGCCCAGATCCCAGATACTTCCGTGGTCGTACAGATGGACAACAGCAGAGATCTCGACTTGGATGGCATCATTGCGGACATCAAGGCTCAGTACAAGGACGTGGCCCACAGGAGCCAGGCAGAAGCACAGGCCTGGTGTGAAAGCAAGGTGAGAAAACCTGGCAGAGGGTGGGTTTGGGTGCAGTTTCTCTCTTCAGACCAACTTTAAACTCACAGAAACACCCCCCACTCTCCTGATTTGCTCCGATTTAACTCAAAGCCTGTGTTTTTGGGATATGCAACCATGTCTTTTGGGCTTTTTTAGTTTGAGAAGCTGCTAGTCGCTGCAGGCAGAAATGCCGACAGCCTGCGAGAGACAAAAAACAAGATAGCTGAGCTGACGTGGATAGTCAAGAGACTGAACAGCGAAGCCAGAAGCGCCAAGGACCCGGTGAGCACAGCCAGGTCTGGTTGTTTCAGCAGGGCAGAGCGCGAATTGCTGTTCCCGCGAGCTCCCACACCCAAATTAAACGGTGCTGTAGCACCTTGCAAAGAGCGTTCATGAACTTGGATTCTGCTCCAACTAGGGCTGCATTAAAGCCCAACTCGTGCAGTACCCGGAGGCAGGTGAGGTTACAGCATCCCATCCCCTGTGAGCGACACGAGGGAGCACTGAACCTGCACATCCAGCCCCCTCTGCCAGAGGGGACTGCGTGTCCATGGGCTGGAAGCGCAACCAGACCTTAAACCCATCTCTTGATAGTTTGAAGATAGCAAGGGACAGCCAAGAGTGACGGTGTCTCGCCCCTTGCAGCGCTGCCAGCTGGAAGGCGCTGTGGCCGACGCGGAGCAGCACGGGGAAACGACCGTCAAGGATGCGACGCGCAAACTCCGTGAGCTGGAGACAGCCCTGCCACAGGCCAAGGCAGACCTGACCCGGCAGCTCCACGAGTACCAGGAGCTCATGAACGTCAAGCTGGCCCTGGACACGGCGATCGTCACCTATAGGAAGCTGCTGGAGGGCGAGGAGAGCGGAGAGCAGGTGAGCGACAGACCCGAGCAGGGCTGCACAAGCTACTGTAGGCGCACGTGTTGAAAGGAAAAACCACCGGGCAGGGCTCTTTCAGAGCTGCCGTGCTGCCAGTCAAGCTGATGCGGATCAGTTCTTCCCATCAGTCCTAACCAGTGCAAACCCACCCAAACAGCCAGCCCCGCTGCCTCCAAACAGCGAGAGACAGGCTAGAGAGGGTCAGGCTCACATCTGAGGCTAAAGGGCTTCGCATCTGAAAGCGGACTGAGAACACGCAACCTTTTCCCATTCCCTGCAGGCTCTGCGCAGCAGGCGGCTTCCCCGTCAACATCTGTAAGTTGGAGTATTCACCTTGTGCCAAACTCGGGCATCTGCTGCCTTTTCTCCAGGGAATTCCCCAAGCCAAAACGCAGCTTTGCTCTGCCTTTTGCAGCCGCTTGCCCTTCGCAGGGAGGTCTCACCACCGGCCCAGAGCCCGGCTTTGCAACAGCCCCTGCGTCAGCCAACTCGTGCTGGACCAGCAGCGTGGGTGCCTGCGGCACGGCGGCGAGCAGCTGCAGGGTTAGCAGCCGGAGCACCAGGAGCTCCCACGTGAAGGTGGCGTCCGTGATCAAGTCAGCCAGGAGAAACACGCAACGAGCTACAGATCTACGGCGAGGCTGGAAACAAAGCAACACACACGCCCTTCTGCCAACACACAGCAACAGCCAAGCCGGAGCTGGTCTGCACCCAGCTCCCCCAGACCGCGTGCCCATCTTCCGTCACATGGGGATACAAAATCCAGAGAGGTCTTTTCTAGGCTCAAGAGTTTTGCTATTCCTGCTAGGGAATCTAGGAGCGAGAAGGGCTAAAATCCCCCTCATCATTCCCATCATGCAGTTAAAACAAGTGCCTTTGGTGTAGTTCCCTGGTCTTTCCACTCCCACAGACTCAAGGATTAAAATGAAGTGGGAGAGAGAGAACACCTTCTACCTCAGAGTATTTTCATTAGAGCTTTATCCGGTCCAGTTACCTTAGCAGCTCCCGCGCTGGATCAACCTACTTTTATCAGTCAGCCTTTTAGACAACACATACACCCCTGGCATGAGCAGAACTCACCCAAAAATGGCCCAGCTTGCAGCTTCCCTACGCATTGCATCAATTTCATTGATTATTTGCCCCAAAGAATAGATCCCAAGGGCTGTTGCTGTTTGAAGGCAGTTTGCTTATGTACTTGCATTACCTGTTTTGAAATTGATCCTCAATTTTCCTTTTTCTTCCGGGTTTCTAATGGTCTGGCTCATCTGTTGCCATAAATACAGTCATAACTGAAGGGTCTGGGGTCCAGAGTCTGCTGTCAGGTATGAAAGGAGCTGATCCATCGATGTCTGACCCCAAGACACAAAGCTCCTCTGAGATCTTGTTCAAGGGATCCAAACCCAACCTTAAACCCATGGGACCAGCATCAATTGCCTTCCCAGGCATCCAGTACCTAGCACACCGAACTGCTAGCTCAGTCCATTAACCCTGTTTGAAGGAAAAGGAGAAGTAGTGATTGATTTCTAATGATCATGTATTTTACCAATGGCTTTTATTCTAGTTTTAGTCTTGCATCTCCAATAAATTGACATAGCAACTCAGTTACCTCCATTCAACACTTTCATTTGGGGAAAGGGGGGGTTAATTCTTGCTTCTGCTCCAGGATCTCTGTAAGCCAGAGCTTACAGGGGTCTAAAGCAGGCACAGGCCGAGCCCTCCAACTGCTGGGAGCTCTTCCTTCCTAACCCAGACACGGCACCTCAATGGTCTCCCAGAGCCCCCAACACATCTATTCTCCATGCACACGAGCAGCTATGCAAGGAGAGGGCTTCCAACCTCTCTCCAGAGCCCCACTGAGTCCAAGGCACAGCCCTCTTCTTCCTCACACCTGCACGCAAGGAGCAGACTCCATTCCACCCAAAGCTGGGTGTTTACCACACAGCTGGCTGCCAGCAAGGCACGAGAAACAGGTGCTTCCCAGGTGAGATGCCTTCATTAGGACAGGGTGGAGCCCCAAATGACTTTTCCCCCAGGAAAAACAAACAAACACAAAAATTTAGAGGGCACTGACTAAGCAAAGATGCACTAGAATTTGCATAAAGCTAACTGAAACTTTTTATTATCATCATTGATTGCTAAATCCCCTTAAAACCCTCACCAATTGCCTCGAGTTGCCTGGGAACTCCTCAAAGCCAGATACCAGGAGCTGCTGGGTGGTTTTACACCCCCTTGTCCTTCCTCTCACCCTGGAGCTCATTGCAGTGACCTCCCCCTCAGGCAAAGCAGACCCAACTCCCAGCCCGTGCTCATACCTCTTCCCAGGCTGCAACTGCTCCAGCGCAAGAGCACAAAGCCCCACCACCTCCAGCAAGAGGCTGGAGGACCTCTTTTCATCTCCACTGCATGGGGTGTTGCCCTTTATAACCTCATCAAGCCAATTAGGCTTCCCATCAAGCTAATTAGGCTTCCCAGGTGGAAGCCTTCCCAGGATAGGAGTTGTCTCCCCCCCCACCTTACTCCTCCCTGCCCAGTGGAGCTGGGGACTCAGCCCAGCCCATACTGGTTTCGTGCCCTTTAATTCCTTTTAAACCCAAGATGAACATCTTAACCAACCTTGGAGCAGGGGTTTGGCCTCAGTAATTACTGAAAAACTGATGGAAACTGAAGCAAATGCGGCTTAAATACCAGGGAACCGAACAAAGCTCCCAAACATCTGCAGCCTTCTTCCCAGGCCTGGTTGCATCCAGGTCCTTGCCCCTCCCCGGCCTCAGTTTCCCTATAGAGAAGAACAGAACCTACCTCCTTTGTAAAACCCTCTGACATCCGTGGACAGCACCATGCCGCCGATGGCCTCAGTCCTGTTATTACAGTAACACACGTCCGACCTCGCATCCCAGCTGGTGGCACCGCAGTGCCACGGGGGTAGGCGGATGGAGCAAAGCGGCCGCATCCTGCAGCGCAGCCCAGAAGGGAACACCAGGGATGGTCAGCGGGCGCACAGCAATCAGCTGGGGCACTTAACCGGAGAGAGAAAACCAGGACAACTCACTTGGATGGGAGAAATACAGAAGCCTAGAGCAAGCAGAGATGGCAGAAACACTCAAAGAAATACTGCTTAAAGTATTAGATGAAAACTTCCAAACTGTACTTAAATATTATAAACTATAATTCCTGTGTATTTAACCCTGCACAAAGCAAGAGGCAGAAGCTGAAGCGCTCTGAGCCTGGGCAGGGATAGCTGGGCTTTACACCTGCACGGAAACCAGCAATGGTGTAAGAAGGAAGAAAAGCAGTTTCACTGCTTTACGAGCTCAGGAAGCAGCAAAACTTCCTTGTAGCGTTGGCTTGGAAAGAGGAAATACTGCTGACCACCCAGATGAAGTTACCTGGGCATCTTTACTGCCTGTGAGTAAAGCACATGCATGGAGCCACCTGCCCAGCCATTAACACACTCTCACCAGGGCAGAGCTGTTAAGGTGTTTAACTGACATGATGATAACTGAGGTGTTTCAGGGATGAAGGCAACACTTACAGTGAGGGAGCTGTACTGTGGAAGGCTGAAACCACACAGCTGAGTACAGACAGATGGATGTGCTCCTGACGGCGTAGCGTTACCTGCCTAAAAGGTAACAGGAGGGAGAACGGGGCTGGGATGTCTTGTCCTTACCCTGCCCCAAAGCATGAACAGAGCAGCGGCCCTGAGGTGGCACCAGATGGGTCAAAGGACTGGCTCATTCCAGGAGGAACTGCCCTCTGCAATTGCCTTTCGCTCTCTGCTGGGCTCCATCTTTCCCTCAACTCACATTTGCAAAGCTGAGCGACCTCCAGCTTTCCCTGAATTCTTTGAGCCCAAATTCACAGCTCCTCCATGAACCACAGGAGCTTGCCGGGTCACTCCGACATCCAGACCAGGCGCGTTCCTGGCCCCGCACCAACATGAACATCCTTTGTGTATGATTTTATGCACATTTCAGATGTTTGTTATTCTTCTTAGTCACTGCTACAAGACAGGGAGGCCAAAAAATACTGCGTTGTGGGTCGTTTGACAGCTTTTTCTACCTTTCAATACCTCCGAGGCCTGCGGGCTCCCATCATCGCTCTTTTTTGCCTCTATTCTCTCCGGCAGCGACGTCCTGCCCACCAGCACGGGAAGCTCAGCTGCTGTTCAGACGCGCAGTGGGAGGCAAAGGCTGGCACCCAGGAGACTCAGCCCAAGCGTCGAGAGCTGGGTGATGGCTCTGCCTGCTGAAAAGTGGGCGTCAGCACCGAAAGCAGCTCAGACGCTGCTCAGTCTGGCAGCGGGAGCGCTCCGCGGTGGAGGGCTCTGGAGCGGGTGGGTGCTGGGTTTCTCTGGGTCACATCCGTCTCGTTTCTCTGGAAACGCAAAAATCTCTGTTGCAAAGCTGCTGCTGAAGCTGAATTATTTCTCCTTGCAGAAATTGCACTCAACAGGAGACTCCCAGTACACCTGCTCTTACACCAACTCAGGGCACTTTGCCTTTGTAAGACCAGCATCCCCTCTGAAGCAGAGAGATTAAATCTCGACCAGCTCCACCTCACCACTCCACCTCAGACTGAGCCAAGACCGGAGTCAAAGACTGAGCAGAAAGAGCATCCGTCTCCACGGACTCACAAAGACGTTTCCCAGCATTTCCTGGAGCGTGCAGATCCCCTTTTCCCCATCACCACCGTGCAGCATATGTGGTTCTAATGCAGGAAAGCTGCAGCCCCACGGCCTGCAAGCGCCCCCTCCCCAGTCAGCGCTGTGTGCCTCCCACCTGGAACTTCAAGAAGCAGCAGCGGAGCCCTGCTGATCTCCTGGAACGCTCAGGGAGACAGACCCACAATTCATCGTGACAGCAAACAGTGGCCCCTCCTGCCAAAACCATCTGGGCAACAGCTCCCTTTTGAGCTTTTCGTTTCAATTAACTTCAGGGGATTTTTTTTTTTTTTTTTCATTTTGCTTTTTGGCCACGACATAAAAGCCATGAGCTGGGTGTGCCGGGCTGCTGATAACATGGCTCCGCTGGGCACCCTGCCTGCCCTCCCTGCCTGCCCTCCGTGCCACGTGCGTAGTAAAACCACACACAGGCTCAGCACGGCGCTTGCTCAGGCACAGGGCGCTGGGCTGTGTTGGGCACTGGAGCAACGGGGTCTGGGCAACCTCATCGCCATCCTCACCCTCGAGGAAACAGCTTTTCTCAGTGACAACAAAATCTCTGCCTGGTCCCAGGCCCGCTGGGGTGACGCCTTCAGCAACCGCAGCCCCAGCAAGGGCTTGCAAGGCCTCTGCACCGTGGCCCTACCGGAAGAACGGGAGCAAGCCCAAACCACGCTGGAGTGGGCTCTTCTAACCCCACGCTGCCCCAAAAGGAGCAGGAATGAGTTGTCCTCACGCAGCAAGGCCCACATTCACCTCTCCAAGCTTTGGCCACGTGCAAGGGAGGCGTCTCCTCCAAAGCGCAGCTCCCCTCGGCTCGGCGGAGGAGGGACCGGTCTCGGTTTCAGTCCTGAGCAGGGGCTGGGCTGAAGCCAAGTGCTCGAACAAAACCGGTCCCATCATCCCACTGCCCAGACTTGGTGCAAAGCAGGCGGGTAAAGTTCACCCAGGAATGAAAGCCTGTGCGGGCAGCAAACCCTAAGCCCTGACCATGACCACAGTGTGGCACTGCTCCAGCGGACAGAGCCAGGAGCAGGCTCTGGAGACAGGAGGAAGGGGCTAACAACGGACGTTCTTCCAGAGCTCCTGAGCATCCAGGGCAGCACCGACAAGGAACTCAGCTGGGACTGAAGCAGCATGCAATAGGGAAACTTTATTAACGGCCTCACGACAAGGTCTCAGACCACAAAGGCAGAAAACATCAACCAAAGATACGCTGCTAGGACGTGGATGAGCATGCAACACAAAAATTCTGTGCAGTTCCTTTGAGTTATTTATCTAACAATTCTTCCCACTGCGGTAACGACCCAATTATTTTCCCTGGCATGTTTACATTGAAGACACATTTTGGCAGGTACAAGCAGTTATTGTAACAACGCATCAACAAAACAGACTTTTTCCCTAGCTGTAGTAAAGGCACCAGATATCACTAGATACGCTTGGAAATATATGGTGGTAAACAGAGACAGCCAAGGATGGGGGATGTTATCTCCCATTTTATTGTGCTACTTATAATTTTAAGCAACTTCATATCCCTTAAGGTTTGGGTAGGAGAGGGAATGGGTGGGGGAGCTTGTTTATGAGTTACTTCGCTATAAAAGGGCCTGAAAGTAAATCTGTCTGCATCGCCTTTGGTAAGAAATCAGCCTCATCCAGAGGAGAATTGCTGAATTCCATTTCTGAGCCCATTTCCAAAGAAAACAAGGAGAAACCCAAAACAGTTTCACTGTTTTCTTCTTGGTGTACTTTTAAGAAAACAAACACAGCCTGAAATCTTAACAAGGGTTAGCATTTTCTGAGGAGCCTAAGGGAATAAAAGTCTTCCAAATCATATTAACAGGGAGATAATCTTCTGGTCTCTTTTGCAAAACCACAGCAGAAACGTGGAACAGCTTGCCACTCAGATGATTGCTTTGCCCTTCAAAGGGTGAAATCCAGCCCTGAGCAGGGGGTACCAAGCGCACAAGTAACAAAAGGTTTATCCCGCCTGCTTCACTGGATAAATTTCACCCTACAGGCTTGAACCTGCTCTCAGTGGAATGGTTCCCACTAAGTTCAACAGTGCAGGATCAAGCCTTAGGCGTGATGCGGCAGGGTCAGGTACTCTGGTATGTCTTATCCCAATTCATTCATCACTGCAGAAATTTCACAGCCAATTTGTCCTATCAAAGGCAACACGAGCAACAAGACTTTTCTTTCTATGGTTTCCCTCCTCCCCTGTAACGGGTACCGCTGATCTCCTCTCTTGTAGTTACTTCCTGAGGCTTCTCCTGCTGGACGAGGTTGTGGTGATGGTGTAGGATTTGGAGCCACCCCCAGAGGAGAAGCCGAGCGCACCGCTGCCCATTCCTGATCCCACGCCAAGGCCTCCTCCGATTCCTCCTCCCAGAAATCCGCTGGAACCAGCATAGCCACTTCCACTGCTGGAGCTGACCACGGCTGTGGCACAGAGAGAAGGAAACCAAACATAAGCACCAGGGAACTTCAAACCCAGCCTGGCACCCTCATGAAAAGGGTATTTTTTAAATCGCAGCAACCAGATGAAAACTCTCTACCCTCTCCTGCGAACCACAGGGCCTGGGACACTCATCTCTTGTTCCACTTTGACCCAGAGCATTTATCCTCTGTGCTACGGCAGGTGCACGTGAGGGCTGAGCAGCACCACCTCCTTCTCCATCACTCAGTCTGGCTCAGGACCCCCCTGCAGCACGGAGAACCCCATACCCCACACCATTCAGCTCCTCTGAATGCACCAAAGAGGCTGGGGGCATGTTGTTCACCAGCTGTCAGCGGCAATTATGTGGATGAAGAGTAGAGCCACTGGTTTAGAGCTGTAGGCAATGTCTCTGAGACACCAGCATCTGTCCAACGTCCGGGCAAGGTGAGGACGCAATGCTTCCCAAGCTGGAAAGACACCCTCTAACGTCACCTTTGCACCAACCTCCAAACCAGGCAGTGCCTTTTCTCATGAGTACATTTTTCTCCATACAAAAAAGAGAAAAAAGCTCAGTATTTCCCCAAGTGAACTTTCATACAGGTGAGTACGAGCTGAAGTCTGCCATGGAGCCAACGGCACTTTCAACTTCTGTCTCGGGGGGGCTCCCATCTAAGAAGGGGGCTAACTGGCCAACAGGGCACTGCGAGGCCCCTGCGTGCAGACCCAGCTGGTCCCCACCTGCCTTTTCTACAGGCGTACGGCTACGAGCAACGATTATAAATGACTAAATCAACTCACAGATGTTGACGTTGCCAACTCCATCACCAGCCAACCTGTCGGTGAAGAAAAACACAAAGGCAAAAAGGAAGAGGACGGGTTAGACTTTGCATTACTCAGTCTTCCCCCAGGGCCTCGGCACTGAGGATGAAGACAATGGCAGTGAGTTATTACTGCTGTTGTAAATAATTCAGACAAGATAAGTGTGCCATCCAGCGCTTTGTTCTGGCCCTACATTTACAAGCTCTGTTATCACCTAGGGGGGAAGGGGGGTGCTGAAAGAGCCCCGAAGCTCTGTCCTAATTCCCTGGGGATTTGAGCCACTTGGAAATTTTCTGCCACAGCATCAGACATATGATGGAAAACGACATTTTTCTTCTTTGCGTATTTTCACCAAAAGAATCAAATTTTCCACAGAACTTCCTGTTCTTCAGCCAAAGCATTTTCAGGACCAAAAATCAGTTTAAAACGCAAGGTTTTCTCTTCTGTATTTCCTTGCAGAAATTGGAATTGGGCCCTCACAATGTCCCCAAGTGAAGGGAACAAAGGGCTGGACTGTTCCTCGTGTAAAACCCACACCTTGCACCCACCTGCTCTCCTCGCCCTCCAGCAGCTTCCTGTAGGTCGCGATCTCGATGTCCAGGGCCAGCTTGACGTTCATGAGCTCCTGGTACTCCCGGAGCTGCCGGGCCATGTCCTGCTTCGCCTTCTGCAGAGCTGTCTCCAGCTCCTCCAGCTTTGCCTTGGCATCTTTGATAGCCAACTCACCACGCTCCTCCGCTTCAGCGATGGCTGCCTCCAGCTTGGTACGCTGCAGGGACAGAGCAGGGTACATCAGTGGGCATGTCACCTCCTTGGTGGAGGACACTAGCGCCCGTGGACTTCTGACATCTATTGGCCAGAACATCTCTGTGTATCTGCAGAGCCCTGGAGCCATCTGCTCAACTTAAATCCCCAGAAGTTCACGGCTACATATCTTTTGGGGCACTGGATGGAGATCAGCCTGCAAAGGAAGCTCATCTCATCCCAAGACACGTTCTCTCAAAAGGCAGACCCTATTTCTCTCCACCGGCTACGTTTTTGGAAGACTTTCTTCAGGTGATCCTCAACTTCTCAGCCCACCCACCCCGCACACAACATTCAGGGTTGATGCAAGCTCAGGTTTTCTCCCCTGTTATGCCCCAGAGCTTGTTCAGAGCCAGTTGGTCTCCAGCAAGCTTTGATGTGAGGCAAGCGTGGACTCGAGCAGACCTGCAGTTAACAAACAATGCAGACCTTCCCCAAAAGCATCCCTGTGTGGCCACGTCAAGCTGGCAAGTCTAACGCACCCTCAGCTGTGCCCCCTGCACCTCCAAAAGAGCCCCACGTTTGGCAGGAAGGGTTCACAATGAACATATGTGCTTTATACTCTCATTCATTATTCAAGGGAGCTGCACTGGGTCAGCTCTTTGCTTGCAAGTGTGTGTTGAAGCCTCCCTGCCCTGAAACCAAATAAACACAAATGGATGAATCACGATGGCTTATCTCCAGCTTTGTGCACCCTGGTTATTCACAGCCGGGTTTCAGCCCTGAACATGGTCTGAACCACTCACTGGTCTGGCTTTCACCAGCCGTTTGATAAAGCGATAACAGACCCTGGAGAAAGCAAACAGAACTCCCATACGGCTCAAAAATTCTTTGATGTGCCCAAACATGGTGTTCCCTTCTGCCAAAAGGGAGTGGACAAAGATCCCAGAAGCGCGAGGGCGCGAGGAATGTGCGTGGCTGGGAGGGAGGCCACCCGCAGCCTTGCCCTTTGGAAAGGACTCTGCATCACTCCCCCTTCTGCGCTCCCAGGTCGCTGGAGGACTTGTTCTCACCTACAGTTCAGCTGCCTCTCAGCATTACACTGCTCACAACGGTTTCTCCCTCCAGCAGAACGGGCATCTTTTCAGGTGAGCATGGCAGCCACCCCCAAACCGCTTCTACAGATGTTGCGTTGCGCCCAGGTCCCTGCCCCGCTTGCTGCGGCCAAATCCACTGCTCTGCAGCAGGAGAATAAGGGCAGCTCCTCACCTGGGCCTTCGCATTTTCGATTTCACCCTGCAGCCTCTGGATCACGCGGTTTATGTCCGAGATCTCGTTCTTCGTGTTGCGCAGGTCATCTCCGTGTTTCCCAGCAGTGACCTGCAGCGCCTCGTACTGTGACATAAAACAGAAGGAGCAAAGGATGGAGCCAGGCAGGCAGTCAAGGAGCTGGCTAAAATCTCTCCCACTCATAACACACAGGAGAGGCTGTAACTGCCTTTATCTCTCCCATAACTCACCTTGCTCTGGTACCAGGACTCGGCCTCTGCCCGGCTCCTGTTGGCAATCTCCTCGTACTGCGCTTTGACCTCTGCGATGATGCTGTCCAGGTCCAGGTTTCGGCTGTTATCCATAGACAGCACCACAGAGGTGTCAGAGATCTGGGCCTGCAGCTCACGAAGTTCCTGCCAGTTGCATTAAAACCAACACCATTAATCACTGACTTTTAACGGCCTCTCTTTCGGAAGCCAATTAAAGAGAGAATCTAAGAAGAAAAGGGAAAGGGAGGCAGACAAGAATTCAATCAAATCATTCATTAATTAGAAGGAAACCAACTGAGTCACATCAGCCTTGCAAAGCACAACGCAACAAACAGGAGCAGAAACGGAGCTACTTCTTACCACCCGCATTTTGACAGCAACTTTACCCCACTCGTGAGATAAGAACCCAACATGAAATGCTACTCCAAGAAGCTTGAGCATCAGCTTCACAACAAAGCGAGGGCCAAATTCCACCACCTCACCCAAGGGTGCAAATGTCCAGTTCAATCAAACTCTTATCTTCCAAATAATGGGCAAGATAAACGAGTCTGGGACAAGGAGCTTTCCTTTCTTTCTCTCACACCGCACACAAACACAAACCAGCGCTACAGCACTGGTATAAAACACGGGTTTTACTTGTTTTCACACTAACAGCGTCAAAAAAATAATGCATGCCCTGGCCACATTCGCAATAGATCCATCTCACATCCCAGATAGGGAGAAATCACTGTGACAACTCACAGGATTATTTCTGCTTATGCAAGGGAAGGCTCCATGTCTCCAACATCCTTCCCCTCTCTGGAAACACCACACTAATTTTCACCGTCACCATTCGCTGTTCTTCACCCACTGGGGGTGCCACGCTGCAGCGGCCACAAGAAGCAGGAAGGGCCTTACCGCTTCGTAGAGACCCCTCAGGAAGTTAATCTCATCCGTCAGCGCATCCACCTTGGCCTCCAGCTCCACTTTGTTCATGTAGGCGGCATCCACGTCCTAAAAACCAGTGATAATCCATTGAGATTGCCATAGCGCGGATGACTAAGTCCACCCAGCCTCTGATGGCTCCAAAAGCAGCCATGAGCCCACCAAGTTCCCCAGGCTGACTGCTCTCGGTGTCCACCTGCCCAGTGACCCACCATGTCCTAAAGACTACCTACCAGTGTACTAAATACCGCTGGTGTGCAGGATCCCACATGTTCTGTAGGGTCCCCTGGACTTGTGTTTGCAAGACAGTTGTCAGTTTGGACAGTCAGGGGAGGCCTTGGGAAGTGTCCCAAAGAAAGATACAGCCGCAATCGATGATATTCACGGGGTTCTGAGCTGTTAGAGAGTGGCGTAGGGGAAAG